CTGTGTAGCTTTGCACCTTTCTTGGAACTCACTTGGTAGCCCAGGCTGGCCTCAAACTCACAGAGATCCACCTGGCTCTGCCTCCCGAGTGCAGGGATTAAAGGCGTGCGTCACCACTGCCCAGCTACATGTTTCTATAACATTAAAACTTTATATTATTTACTTATTTATTCATTTATCTGGGCCTCTGAGGTAGGGGCTTATGTAGCCCAGGTCCATCTCAAACTTGCTATGTTTCCAAGGATAACTGGAACCCTTAAGCTTTCTATGTTCTCTTCCTAAGTGCTAGAATTGCAGGCAGGCGCCAACACACTCAGCTTTCTCCATGAACTTGTTTGAGCACTTCCTGTGTGCCAAGCACTCAGTGAGGTACAAATACTGTAGCTGAAGAGATGTGGTTCTGACACCCCTTCGTGCCTCTCAATTCCCCTTTGCAAAGCTCTCACCTCGTGTCCACTGAACCTGTACTTTGCGTTCCAAATCATCTACCTGAGTGCTACTCTTTCAGGCAGAATTTTCCAAAGCAACACTTCCTCCACTTTCATCTGCTCTTCAGCCCACTGGGGTCAGGCTTCCAGCCCCATCATGCTACTGAGCCATCTACTGGACTTCCTAACTGTAACATGGAAGGGACTAGACAGGCCATGCCTTTGTCTCCCAACTGCCTTGTGCACGCTACCCAAGTGATCTACCCCTGAGTTATACCCCAGCCCTGCCACCTGCTTCCCTTGCCCCTTCCCATTTTATTTATATTTTTATTAGTTTTTTTTTTTTATTAACTTACTAATTCCAGTTGCTGTTGGCACTCACTGCTTAACCTTGGGAAAAATCATTCAGCCTCTCTTCCCTTCACCTTCCTCATCTCAAAAATACCTGAAAGGGACACGATTATATGTCCAAAAAAAGTTGACTAAAAACTAAAGTTATTAAAAAAAAATTAAGCATAGTAGCATACTTCTGTAACCAGTCCTTTGATGGTATAGAAGGTTCCCAAGTTCAAGCCATCCTCAGCTACACAGTGAATTTGAGGACATCTTTTGGGGCAGGGGGATGGGAGAACGGGGGATACATTGGGAAATGCTAGAGTATAAAGGGTGGGGGAAGGTTAATGAAAGGGAATTCTATATATGGATCTGGTTGAAGACTTTCTGATGGGGTTGCTCTAGCGCCCCCCACCCTCCTGTAAGTAGCCCTCCATCCATGCTCTAGAATCAAGCCCAATAAACTCATGCATTCCCCAGTGGAATCATACTTTGATTTGTTGTTGGGGCCTCATAAGGAGGGGACAGATGTTGTTGATGTCTCCCTAGGTAAGGAATTCTCCCAACAACCTCAAAAGGAACCTTCTAAACGTATATTAGAGAGACTGGGTAAAGCTGGGTATGGTGCCAGATGACGTAACCCCAGCACTTTTGAGGTAGAGGCAGGTAATCAGGGTCCAAGGTCAGCCTGGACTGCAAGAAACCTTGTCTCGAAACAAGACCAGGTTTGGTGGCTCATGTCTTAATTCCAGCACTTGGGGGTCAGAGGCAGTTGGATCTCTGTGAGTTCGAGGCCAGCTTGATTTACATATCGAGTTGCAAGCCAGCAAGGGCTACCTAGAGAGACTCTGCCTCAAAGATCTAGAGAGAGAGACAGAGAGACAGAGACACACAGAAAGAGACACACAGAGAGAGAGAGACTGAGATTGTGAGGAAGCAGAAGTAGTAGAGAAGCCATCAAGTTATTATAGTAGAGCACATGACAGTGAATTGGATGGGTAGAGTGAGGGCACTGGTGCTGGAGATTGATCATAGCATGTTCTGAACATATTCATATTCTGAATGGTGGTGATACTTTTTGACACGGGATCTCACATAATCCAGTCTGGCCTCAAACTTGCTTTAGAGCTGAGATTGGCCTTGAACCTCAGGTCCTCCTGCCTCTTCCTCCCAAGTGCTGCTAGAATTATGTTCAAGGTCACTATACTGTTCTAAATGTATTTTGAAGATAGAGCCAGTTAGACTTGCTGATTGATTAGAGGGAGGAGAAGAAAATTAAGGAATTACAGATAATTCTCAGACTTAAAATATATATATATATATATATATATATATATATATATATACACACACACACACACACACACACACACACACACACACACACAACCCAGTGAGTGGATGGTCTGCTTAAGATGGAGAAGTGGAGTCCTGAAGGGTACCTCAGCTGTGTTTTCAACATATTAAGTATGAATGTAGCCGGGCGGTGGTGGCACACGCCTTTAATCCTAGCACTCGGGAGGCAGAGCCAGGCAGATCTCTGTGAGTTTGAGGCCAGCCTGGGCTACCAAGTGAGTTCCAGGAAAGGCGCAAAGCTACACAGAGAAACTGTCTCGAAAAACCAAAAAAAAAAGTATGAATGAACTTCTGAGTGTCTGGTTTGTATATCAGTCTCCTATGAATCGGGATAGAACAAGTCGGTGCCTAAATCCTCTCAGTTCTGACTGTGTAACAGTATTAGTCCCTATAAGCTAGGGACAGGCTTCAGAAGTGGGAGACCCCACTAGCCAGCCTCCTTCAACAGCAGAACCAGCCCCTCAGCATGCCCCTCTGGCCTTTCTCTTTTGGGTGTAATTGCATTTTGTGTGGATCCACTTAATTGTTGAGAGGACCTCAACGATTAGGTTTTGGTCCTCTGATGCGAAGATTTCATTCTTCTTAGGGTATTATTTTTTCGGTATGCGTCAAAACTCCAGTCCTTTCCTTCTATAGCCCTATCCTTGGGGACCTCCCTAGGCAGCCACAGACTTTGAAGCACAGGAGAGAAACCAGAGAGGCACACAGTTGTAGAGTGTGAGTGGGTTGACACAGGAGAAGCAAGGATGCCAAGGGACCCAGAACCTGTCCAGGCAGGGCTTCCCGGAGCAGGCCCCCTCACAGCTACCCTCCCTGCACAGGCAGAAGAGCTTGCCTCCCTAGTCACTCACAATTCTGGCCTCATCTAATCATCTTGGGGCTGGAGGTTGGAAGCCAGTCTTTTCCTGACTCCAAGGAACGTTTCAGAAACATTTTTCAATAAAACCCATGGGCATTTTGCTCCTCCCACATCAAACAAGTGGAGCCCAGACCCTGGGGATGTGCCTGCAGGCCTGTGCATGTTCTCTTTGCCTCTGGCAGAGGGATGAGGGTTTGAGTCCCAGCCAGACCAAGCAGGGAGGTGGCCCAGGAGCCAGTGGTCGGAAGCTGTGGCTACATTGGGCTCACTGAAAGGTCAGTCAAGAAAGGGTGCCATCAACCTGTCCTTGGTGAACAGGTTCCCCTGAAGCAAGTCAGGGGGTTGAGGGACTTCTTGCCAACTGCTAAACACTTGTCCTGTCTTCCCCCCCTGTATTCTGATCATCATCGCCCTGGTACCACCTCCACTTTCCACCAAAATTCCAATAGCCTCTTAGACGGCATTCCATCTCTAGACTCAAATTTGGGCAGTTTCACAATCTGTTTCTCTTTTTCTTTTTTCTTTTCTTTTTCTTTTTTTTTTCTTTTTTTTTTTTTGGAATTTTGAGACAGCATCTTACTTGTAGCCCAGGCTGGTCTAAAACTCTATATAGCTCAGGTTGGCCTCCAACCCATGAATATCCTCTGACTTTAGTCTCCTGAGTGCTAGGTTGGAATTTTAGGTCTGTGAACCACCATGCTTGCCTTTTAATTTCATTTTATTTTTTTTCTCTAGACCTTGGCCTTTATCTAGGTCTTGCTATTCTATCTGGCTTGACACTTGCTCTGTAGCCCAGTGCTGAGATTCGCAATGTGAGCCGCTACTCCTAGCTCAAAATCCATCTTCACATGTGTGCTCCAGTGTTCTTCCAAGACACAGGTCAGACCCTGTTTCTCCTTGCTTACCACTTTCACTAGCTCCCTGATGGTTCCAGAAAAGACCAGGCTTTGAAGCTGTCCTGAGCCGGCCCTTCTCTCCTACTCCCCTTCTCTAGCCTCACCACATACTTACCAGCTCCTCCAAGATGCCACTCTAGGCTCTGTCGATCTCAGTCCTGGCAGTTAAAAACATTGTTTGAATTTTGCCTTCTCCTTGAAGCCTCCTGCCCTGGTCCCCTGGCTAGGTCTGTTCAGCCTGTCTTCTGAACTATCTCTTCATATTGCTACCCTCAATCTGCTGTTATCACAGACCAGGGAACTTGAGTCTCAGAAAGTAGAAAGGGCTTGTCTACATTTTCAAGGTAGAATGTGGACTCAAATCCCCAAAGTCCTTATTCTTGGGCGAGTGCTTTATTCTCTACACTCTCCCCCAATCACACACTCACACACACACAAAGGCTGAAACAGTGTCACTGAACCTCTGTGTAAGTAACACACACACACACACACACACACACACACACACACACACACACACTAACACTGGGGGTGTAACTCAGTCAGTAGAGTGCTTGCTAGTATACATCAAGCTGTGGCTTAGATTTTCAGCATTGGGGACAAACTGGGCGTGGGGACAAACGCCTGAAATTTCTTAGCAGTACAGCTACATAGGGAGTTCGAAGTCAGCCTGACTGTATCAAAGTAACAAAGGAAGCCTATGTCATGAGTAAGTAGCCCTGCCATAATTTCCTGATGTTCTTAAGACATTCCAGGGAAACAAGATCCTCTGAGCTCTTGGCTTTTATGGAGTGTGGAAAGTCTTGCTATCCTCACCCGCGGTGGCACTTTTTCTCTGGGTTCACTTGCTTCTGTTTCTAAGAAACAACATTGAGCACACCTACTAAGTGCAGAACCTTGCACATCTTACCTCCTTTAACTCTCAGAATAATTTTGCAAGATCTATATTGGCCTCTTTTACTAGGGAAGGAATACAAACACCGACCCGGGGGCACAGCTAGGTCTGAACTGGATTTGAACTGTGGCTCTTCTCTCTCTAAAGGGGTCCCCAAGGGGAAAGTGAGCCTGACCTCCTCTGGAACTGGGGACTGAGAAGGAACAGGGGCGCTCTGGGCTAGGACAGCTTACCCCCATCTTCGAATTCCTCCCGGAAGAAGACTCGGCGGCGCTTCCCCTGCGCCCTCAAGGTGCAGGTGGTCAGCAGCAGCAGAGGCAGCATCCACAGGCTAGTCATCTTCACAGTCCTGCAGCGAGGTCTCGGAGAGCTGTGTAACCCAGCCGGGTGCGTTGTGTGTCTCTTACTTGGACCCTGAGGCTCAGGCTGACTTCACCTGCTGCAGCACCTGGCTGCCTCCCATTCGTGGCCTGGGTCTGGGCAATGAAGGCTGTAACCAATAGTTGGGAACCACGAGCTGAGATTGTTGGAGGATCTCTGACTACATGTCAAGGGAGCTACAGGGTTCCCCAGAGTGTGGGGGAGTGGCAGGGCCAGCTGAGGCTAGCCTCTAGAGAGTCCTGTGAGCCTGCTCAACTTTGGAGTAGTTGGATTCAGAGTGTTCTCAATATGATTCCTTACCTTACCTCTCCTTCCCTTCGTCCACTCATTCATCCATCCACTCACCCACCCACTGCGCGCCAACGAAGAAACTATGGAAACAGTGTGATGCCTGTTTATTTTAACAAGAACATGCAAGGCCCAAGGTTCCCCGCAGGAAGCACTAATCCAGGACAGGATCTCAAAGGCAGTGTCCTGAAGGAGGTGAGGGTGGCTGAGCCAGGAAAAGAGAAAAGGGGTAGACCAGGAACAGGGGCAAAGGGAGGGAAAGACTTGTAAATTAATCTTGCTTCTACACAATCATTGCCATGCAGCTGCTGCTATTTCCCCCATTGTGAGGAAAAATGAGGCCGAAGGGAGGGAAAGGTGACATCATTTGTTGACCATTGTACCATGTGCTGAGCACCCCACCCGGCCCTTAACAAGCATGGTGCCAGTCAAGCTTCGCACAGGTGCGTGACAATAGTGGTGCTATGCTCACTCCGCAGATGGGCAAACAGAGGCTCTTGGAGACCAGCAACTTGCCAACGTCATAGGGAGGTAGGAATAAGAACTAGAACCCAGACCTTCTGTCCCGTACCTTTGATGAACTTCATGTATCTATTTACTGTATTCACTGAAGCGCTATTGTGTGTGAGGCAGAGCCGGGACCCAAAGCCACAGCAGAACATGAGAATCAACCTGTGCCCATGGAACTCTCTTTCTACTGTAGTGGACAGATGCACATAAGGGAACAGCAGATAATGGTCATCAGCATGGAAAGGAACAAGGCAATGAGTTAGAGGGCTGGAGAGAGGTGGGAAGGGTTCACAGACCAGAGAGGGAAGAGGCCAGGGAAGTCCTGGGGATGCTTCGGTTGAGATCTGGATGAGAAGAACTCACGTACTGAACTGGGGCAGGTGTTCCAGACAACAGCAACATCAAGTCCAAAGGCTTTTAGGACAGGAACAAGTTGGTCTCGCTTCACCATCAGAAATGTGACCAATGTGGCTTGAGCCACACAGTGAGCCTAGAGAGGAGGCTGACAAGGAGTTAAGTAAAGACCCCACAGGAGCTGGTAAGCCAAGGAGTTATCACTGGTGCACAAGCCTGGGAGAGAGTGATGTCATTAGGTGCTGCTTGAGACAGACTCTCCGCCCAGATTGTTGTTTTTAATTTTATGTTATGTGTGTGGGTATTTTGCCTGAATGTATGTCTGTGTGCCTGGTACCCCCAGAGGCCAGAGAGGGTGTTTGATCCCCTGGAACTGGAATCACAGGCAGACAGATGACTGTTAGCTGCCACTTGGGTGATAGGAAACTAAGACCTCTGGAAGAGCAGCAATTGGTTGTAACTGCTGAACTATCTCTCCAGGCCCCCACCCCCACCCCCAGATGTTAGGGATGACTTTGAACTCCTCATCCTTTTGCCTCTACCTCCCAATCTCTGGGATTATATGTACCACTATGTCCAGTTTAAGAGTTATATTTAAAAATATCTCTGGGATCATGGCATGGTGTATATGCCTCTAACTCCAGAAGCAGAGACAGGTGGATCTCTGTGAGTTCCAGGCCAGCCAGGGCTACAGAGAGAGACACCATCCAGAAGAAATTCTCGGGCTGGAGAGATGGCTCGGAGGTAAAGGCACTTGCTGCATAAGCCTGATGACTTGCATTCAGATTCTCGGAACCCGTGGGGAAGCTGGGCTGTGCACTGACCCCCACGCTTGGGCATTCCCTCACGAACAAAATGTCCACACCTGCATGGACATAAAAGCAAATAAAAACGTCACAGGTCAGGCATGAAGGAACACACCTGCAATTCCAGCACTCAGGAGACTGGAGAAAGAGAATAGGGAGTTGGAGTCTACCCTAGAAAGAGAACATTGATTACTGTATGCTAAATTGGGAATGTCAAATAAAAAGATTAAAATCTGTCAGATGTGGTGGCACAGGCCTGTGATTCCAGCACTCAGGAGGCAGAAGCAGAACAGTTGCTGTGTATTCAAGACCAGCCCAGGCTACATAGCAAAACTGGATCCTATATCAAAAATAAAACAATGGCCGGGTGGTGGTGGTGCTCACCTTTAATCCCAGCACTCGGGAGGCAGAGGCAGGTGGATCTTTGTGAGTTCGAGGCCAGCCTGGTCTACAGAGCGAGATCCAGGAAAGGCGCAAAACTACACAGAGAAACCCTGTCTCAAAAAAAACCAATAAATAAATAAATAAATAAATAAAATAAAACAATGATAACAGAGAATAGAGATGTGGCTCAGCAGATAGAGTGCCTTCTAGCATGCATTGCCCTGCTTTGACGCCCACTACCGAATGAACTGGATGTAGTGGTTTAGGCCTGTAACCCAGACCTTGGGAAGTGGAGGCTGGAGGATAGGAAATTCAAGGTCATCCTTTGAGATCCTGTCTCAAAATGAAAAAACAAAATAAAACTAAAATTTACAAACTGGAACTCAGAAAGAGTCCTGGCTGCAAATAGTCATTTGAGGGATATAAGTGATACTGTAGGCCAAAGAGCTAGGTGGGATCATTCTAAGAGAAAGAAGACTGGTCAAGATCTCTCAAGTTCCCAGCTCTGCAGAAGTCCAGACCTGAGGACTTCAGAGCCTAAGTATTTAATCGCCCTTTTAAATTTTGTCATAGTTTGATAGTGCTGGAACATACAGTCCCCAGGAAGATGAAGGATTCTGAGAATAAGGCAGAAGGAGATAAACAGGACCACACTGGTCCAGGCTTGGAATGCCAGCTGGATGATTCTGGATTTAGTTCCTCAAGACCAGAGGGGTTTCCCAGTCTGCATTATTGGCATTTATTTCCTTTGTTGTGAGGTCTGTCCTCTGCACTCAGGGATACTTAGCTGCTTTTCTTAACAGATGACAATTACCACTCTCCCCAACAGTTGTAGAAACTAAAAATGTCCACATTGCCAGACTCCTTGATGTGTACACACACATACACACACACACACACATACACACACACACACACACACACACACACGAGCACACACAAAACTGGACTCCCACAGGGAACTGCTGTTCTAGACACCAATGGGGTTCAGAAGTTGAAAAAAGTTATGACATGATGAGTATAATTGATGCTCTCTGAACACTAATAACATTCTTCTTCCATGATGACCACTGTAATGTTTGTATTAGTCTTTGTAAGAAGTTATCAGGTTTCAATTCTGGTAAGCTAGAATCACCGTATGACTGGTGACTTTCCAGTGGGCTGTTCCTTCTCAGCAAGATGGTGAAGTTGACCATGAACTCCTCAAGGACAATGACTGCTGTGCCTTCTTTGTTTTTATATTTTCAGTTCCTGGCACAATGAGTGTAAACTAAATGGGTGGGTTTTTAAATCCATATATTGTATAATATGCACAATTATATTTCTTTTTAAGATATACTGAGATCAGAACTATGTTAGGTATCTGATACAGAATAAATGACAAGTATCTTTGTTAGCAAAGTTGTCTGTTTTAGTCCTTTGATGGAAGAATCCTGTAGATGGATAAAATGTGTAGACTTCATCTTCAGGTGTCCCTCCCTCCCTCCCTCCCTTCCTTTTATCCTTCCTTCCTTCCATCTTTCCTTCCTTCCTCCCCTTTCTCCTTTTGAGCCCAGGTTCACCTCATACTCTGCATGTAAATAAGGCTGGCCTTGACCTCCTGCTCCTCTGTCTCCATCTTTTGAGTCTGGGCTGTTCCACCTGGCTTCCCTTGTATTTTCCGTATGGGAAAAATCCATGTTATATTTGCAGCATATGTAGAGGTTTTGTCAATCTCCAATAACGTACTTTTGTAAACTTTCCCTAGTCTGTGACACTCTAACAAAAGAGTAGTTTTTAAGGATTAGAAATTTATTCCTCAGCTGAGCACCATGGCACATGCCGGTAATCCCAGATACACAAGAGGCTAAGGCAGGAGGATTACTTAACCCAGGAATTAAAGACAGCAACATAATAAGACTTCATTTTAAAAAAGAAGGAAGAAGGAAAGAGGGAGAGAGAGAGAGAGAGAGAGAGAGAGAGAGAGAGAGAGAGAGAGAGAGAGAGAGAGATCAATCTATTTCTTAAGGTGCCCAAAGGATAGGAAGCAATCAAGGTACCACCTGACATCATTTCATGAAGTCAGGCTGCTCTCTGTATCCAGATGGTGGCTTCTTGGTGTGTCTGAATACAGCAGAAGGAGGTAAAAAGATTGACTGTTGTGACTTCACATGAAAGAAAATATGAGAAGAGCAGACTACTCCCTGAAGCACCTTTTCTAAGTGTCTTAGTCCCATCCATGAGGGCAGAGCCCTGCTGGGCTAACCCCTTGAAGGTCCACCTCTTAAAGTCTGACATATGGATTTTGGAGAGGCATGTTTGTTCAACCATCCAACCTTATGTAAGGCACTCTGGACTGACTCAGCACAATTCATTTCCATATTCTCTGCACTACCCACTGTGAATCAGGCACTAGGAAGGAATGAGAGACTCCATTTCCATCCTCAGATTAGAAGCATCTAATCTAAAGGGATATCAGTCTCTTGCGGCCTGCTTGACCTTGGCTTGTTTCTCTCCTGGTTTTGTTTCTTAGACAGGGTGTCTTAGTTTGGGCTCTATTGCCGTGAAGAGACACCATGACCATGGAATTCTTATAAAGGAAAACAGTTCATTGGGGCTGGCTTACAGTTTCAGGGG